GTACAGCCCGTCTCGAGCCCCTAAGACTTTTCATGGCTACAGCAATACAATATATATGGACCGCTATACTTCTTATTACTCACCTCTTGTATTGTTTCATTATCTTCTTGTCGTGGTGTTTCCTGCACAGTGTCTTCTGGTACTTCCGGCAGAGGTTCTTCCACCAGAGGATTTCTTGCATCCACGACATCCCCACAATCGTGACATGTGTTTATTCCTGATGGACCTGGGGTAGCGGTTTTCCTCTTCTTCGGCTTCCTTTAAAATCTGTATATTGATTATATAAATGGAACGGGCAAAAGCGAAAATAGAGATGATTGATTCTACACTTCCTCCGGACTTATTGCGTTCAACACAACAATCTAGAGACAAGGGTGCAAGTTCATGGCTCAACGTGTTGCCTCTCATTGATCGAAATTTAGCCCTAAACAAGCAAGAGAGAGACAATTTAGAGACTCCTTGCGTATGCGTTATAATTTGCCTCTGGTCGATCTGCCAGCCCGATGTGTTTGTGGGGATGTATACATGTATGTCATGCACTCTCTTGCAAAAAAGGAGGTTTTGTGGCACAGAGGCACGATAATGTGAGAAACCTGCTAACTTCTTATATCAACAAAGTCTGCACCAATGTGGAAGTGGAACCACGGCTCCAGCCCCTTGACAACGAGAAACTTCACTATAAGAGCGCTGTAATCAGCTCTGAGGCAAGGCTGGACATCAAGGCTGATGGGTTCTGGTCAAGGGGAGTAACGGCATTCTTCGACGTTAGAGTTACGCACGTCAACTCCAGTTGCCACCAGAATAAAACAACTTCAGAGGTCTTCAGTGAGCAAGAAAAGGAGAAGAAACGCAAATACCAGCAACGAGTTCTAGATATTGAGATGGGTTCATTCACTCCATTAGTATTTGGAACCAACGGTGGGATGGGCGATGAATGTCAAAGGTTCGTTAATCACCTAGCAGAAAAGTTGGCTTACAAAGACGGCGAGCGCTACAGCACAATTGTAACCTGGTTAAGAACTGTTATTTCTTTTGAACTTGTACAATCTGTTCATGCCTGTTTGAGGGGATCAAGAGTGCCATTCYGCAACTCAGACTTTACTAATGATTTTAGACTCAATGTTGCTTCCACCGATGTTTGATTTTTAGTTTATTGTTTGATTTTTAGGCTTTATAGATTTATTAGCAGTTCGTTATATATTATATATATGCATATTTTCTTTTTCTTTTGAATTTGTATTATCAGTGTATATATATATTTTTAATACTATTGTAACCATTTATTATACTCTTTTATTGTATATACTATTAGTCTTGTACCTTGAGAAATAAAGATTATTATTTGATGGGTGAAAAACTTAGGACCATCAGGCTCTAAAGCTGACCCTGCACAAGTTGCCAAGGAAATGAGAGATGACATAGGCAATCTTAATTTTTCCTTGTGGAATGGCGTAGCGCTGAAGAAATTACAAGTTTCTTGTCCCGCATGTCTGCACTGCAGAAACGGCAATAGTCTCAGCATCGAAATGAAGTAGAAGCTCTTGATGATGGTGATTTTGATGCTCTGGAAGGAGATATATTCATACAGGCACTACATGAAGCTGTTCTAGAAGTCATCGATTCACCCTATTGTTGGAATGGGATCGATGTCACTCTGAAGACAGCTTCTAGACTGAAAAACCTCAGCTTCGAAGAATTTGCACTACACTAAGTCTTCACAAGAGTGGTCACAAGTTTATGCAATCAATGTTCTTGTTGTTCATGGTCATGTAAACAAACAATGACCTTACCTTGTTTTTTGATGATATTTCTCCATACGAGATACGTGTGCATATTGGCCGTTTTAAAGACAGAAGTCAGCGAGCACATAAAGAATCGCGATAGCCAGTAAAAACGAACCTGATGGCCTAACAATGACTGGATGAATAAATGTCAACCCCATGGATCAAAACACGTTTTACGAGTGAAGACAAGAATTTACATATTTACGATATTCATACTGTATTCATTTACTCTAAACAAAGAACGCTCTTTGATTAAATAAGTTAAGGTTAGTTCTGAAAAGTTAGTTTATATTTTATTCAGTGCGAGATTATCAAAATTTAGTTTTTGAAAATGTACAGGATTTAAAAAAGTACATTTTTATCTTTTTACATTTCTATTTAGTAAATATTTTCTGCATGCTTATTTAGCGGCGTTTATGCAATTTTTCCAAAAATAAAAATAAAATGCGAAGACACGCTTCAGTGAACTTCAGTAAATCAACAAAATATCAAAATTTTGACGACGAGTAACTCTAAAGTTAAAATTTGTCCCATTCACATTATTTTGGATTTTGATAGTGATGATAATGGGCAATCGAAATATAGTAGATGATCGTAAATAAACAACCGCACAAACGAGAAACACGCATTCAAAGTTGCCCAAAAATCAGTGTTTGTTAACTCACGATAAACTATGGTCTAATCAAAAATCTTTAAAATATTCCCAATTTAAAATAACTGAGTTTTACGCTCTAAGTAATTCGGAATAGATGTGCAATAGGCTTGTAAAGTTTCATTGAAAAAAAAAATAAAAGTTAAATAATATTTTCGAGATCTTAGATTTGCGTTATTTTCATAGGGTATCTTGACCATTTTACGGCCAAAACCGAGGGGGGTGGTCGATCTCGGAAACTAAAAGGACTAGAATCGTTTAAATACCATTTATTTATTTATTTCCGATGTAGATTGTATGCTAATAATTTAAGGTAAATCGGCCGACCCCCATATTTTGTACCTTCCCGGTTTTCTCAGACAACATCTCTTAATTGATTCTTTGTAATGTAGTTCTGTGTACATGAATCACGAACAATAGCGACACGTAGTAATAGATGTAATGTAATTAGATCAACTTAAGCTTTATTGTACCTAGTTGACCAGATCATAGATGGACCTAATTAAATAATGATTTGCGTTCTATACAAGGCGTCTTGAGACAATTATTGTGAAATCACGTGTCATCTGGAACTTTAAAGGGAATCTTAAAAAAGACTGCAACGTTTTTGCTTCAATTATGCACATTGAATGATTGATCATATCTTTATCAGTAACAAAAAATTATTCTGATAATCGATTGACAAAAAATAAGCCCCTTAGTGTCTATTTAAAATTAGGTCGGGCCAAGTAGAAAACCAGCATGGGTTGATGTGGCAGATGGTGTTCAAACTCAAAAGGAGGGCAAACATAAATTTGAAGTTGATTAAAATTTAATAGAGTCGTTTCATTTAACCCGTGAAACACTAGCAATTACTCACTATGTAATACCAAGCCGTACTATGTAATACTATGTGATACAAAAAGCTTTTATTTAGATTATTTCCGTATTTTGTAATTCAATACTTTTCCGTACATTTACCATTATGAGTTGTTTACAAAAACGCCTGAAACAATGTGTAGAATAGCTTAAGGACCTTAAGTGCGATCACGCAATGCCGCGAACAAAAACAAAAGGAATTCCGAGCAGTAAAATGTATTGTAATACGTGCATCGAAAGATTAAGTACAGTCTGCAAGTTAGTTGTCTTATTCAAAAATGTTCCACGAACGCTTATAGAATTTTCGCACTTTTAATGCGGAGACTTGTTGAAATGCACTAACAATATCTAACATGGAATTTGCTCTCAAAAAACCGGGCAATGGCTTTTACATGCCCAAACACCATTTCTATCGGGTTTAAATCATAGGCATACGCTGCAAGCTTGACCAAAGTTATATTCTTTGCAGCTAATATTCGGCATAGTGCGACATTGTGTACACTGGCGTTATCTGCAACAATAAAACAATGTTTGGAAGAAGAGGAAGGACTTGATTCTCCATAACTTCGTTAATTACATCAGCTGTGAATGATCCAGCCACAGGAATAGCTTGAATTACTCCCTCTCTGAAGCCACAAATAGCCAGCGTAGAATATTTTCCGTCCTTTGCCTTGCCCTTTGAGCGGAATGAAGGGCATGCAAATCCTCAATCAATTCTCCCATATTCTCTCTCATCTGTTTCAACGTTGAAGTGAGTTCCGTTAAAAAAATATATAAAGCCTGGGTTAATTGTTCTTCTCCATTGAATGTACATCTGTCTGCATAAACGATTACGTGGCGACAGTCGCTTAACTGCTACATGTATACATTTCTTTCGAGTAATTTCAAGCTGTTTGAATAATTTTGCAATTGCTTCAATAGATGGAACATCATTTGGTGCTAGTTGGAAGTCGTCTCTGAGTAGCATTTGAATCTCGCGAAGGTAAACATTAGGATATATTCTTACAATTGCCTCCATATACGCTTCCATCCACCAAGCGATTTTTTTTGGATGCATATTTCTGTTTACCAATGGTGAAATCGTCGCTCTTTCTTGAAAAAGTTTCATATATTTGTCGACGCAGTTGTACAATACTTGGCAGATTTCAGCAGTGCGTGGGGTAGATAACGTAGCTAAACACGTTACAATTACTTGAAGTTTTTTTTGCGTAGGGTAAGAAACACCATAACGATAACACCCTCCATGTTCGTTTAGATACCAAGGCATTTAGAAAGGCAGAAAAATCAAATCCACTTCCTGAGAAAACGTTATTTCATCTACATTGTACCAGGGCATTTCATTAAATGACCAGACCAGCCATTCTGCGATGCTCTTTGTGTAGTTGTAATAATGAAATTTCTATGGCTAAAATATTGAATGTTCATGATTATGTATCGTTCTATACAAAATAATATACATAATATATAATATGCTTCATTTCTGGCCATTGTCTGTTTTTAAGAACATTCGATTTTAGTGATGACATGCACGAGAAAATGCCGATACCAATGCAATGTAAATTATATAAACGTTTTTGTAGGATAATATGTTTCCATAGAGACATGGGACACTCCTTGACACCAGCTGAAAACCTGTGATGGCAGGAAGAAATTGCGGAAAGTGCCGTCTACACGGTAAAATTGTCCCTTTAAAAGGTCATAGACGGGCCTGTCCTTTCTCAAATTGTTCGTGTTCGAGATGCTCCAAACACGACCAAGTGTAATGGCAATGAGTTATCAAGAACGCCAAAATCAGTCAGACAAGGGAAAGCAGTGGAGGGCAAGCTTGAACTCGAGTCTGAGGACAGAAACACTTGTAACGCCGTCTTCCACAGATGTACCTTTCCCAGATATGAAACACTCTATGCACCAAATGTCGAAGAGTGTATGAGTGCACTGCAAGTGGCAAACTTTGAGTCATCAAAAGCAATGGTACTTAAGAAAATGCCAAAAGCTGTTCAAAAAGAGGTATGCAACACATAACTGTATAATTCCAAGCTTTCTGAATTTTATGCTGAATCAAACAAGTGCATTATCAATGTGTTCCGTTCATCCAAAACATTATTCGTCCCAATTTTTTATGAAAGAATTGAGAATCTAGAACATCTTTACCTGTTTACAGTCAAACCTATGGTCAAAATAGCACAAGCATGAACACGTTGAGCTCATTAATGAATTTTCTGTTCGAATATTCATTGGATTCTTTGTTTTGAAAAAACTGATATCATTGCCTTTCAATCGGCTTTGCAAAATTGTTAAATATGCAGCAAAGCGGAAAATTGAGTTCTAACAGACACAAACATAATAATTGTTATCTGGTCTATTTTTTGTGACTTCAATTTCCAGTGTTCAGTAGATTATACAAAACTAATAAATTATATACATTAAAACATTAATGGAGATTTTATTGTTAAATTTTCAGATAAGCAAAAGAAGCAGCTGCAGGAAGAGAGAAGCATCTACAATAGTATCAATTCCTATTCACATGAAATCGCAGAAACTGCTTAAGAGTGAGTTTCTGTAAATATCAAACATTTTCGAAAAATCTTGGCCATCTCAAAAATTCGATTTTCCTGAAACTTTCCATACAAGTTTGACTCACCCCGCAATAAAGAAAAATCGGTATCATAAGGTCGGGGGGGCCTTCGTTTCCATGGCAACCACCCCCACTATTTTGGGTCATTTTTGATCCAAAACAGCTGTAAATAGGTAGCTTTTTAGGCCATCATTACTATTAAACAATTTTGCAACACAATTCTTTTGCTATATCACAGCAAAGAATCATCCTTGGACTTTTGTTGGAGATACTTTTCTTTGGTCTGGTTGCCATGGTTATTCCATAATGAAATTTACAACACACTGAGGTTTTCAATATTTATTAAATGCTCAATTTTGGGTAACTTTGGTGTCTTGTATCTCTGGTGGTAACGCTCTGTTTGAAACCAAAATTACGTCCAGTACTATTCTATCCTAGGTCTACCAAAACCTACTTTCAAAATTTTTGGCACTTAAATATTTGCTAAATGACAGACTTCCAAACTAACCGACCTTGTAACAATTTCGTTAAATATACTCAACAAAGATATCAAAAAATTGATAACTAAAAACTACTTATGAACTCGTAAAAGCCGTTTTGGAATCATTTATAATTTACATTTCATGGATATTACCACTTTTTAAGTTGTTATTGAGATATCAAAGCTACAAGAGATGAACATGTTAACGTTATTTTTTTAAATGT